TTGCAATATTTGTTTTAGCTTCTACCATGAACTGATTATCAATGATGGTTAAGGTTAAAGTTCCTTCAATTTCATCAGCAATACCTATTTTCGGATAGGGAAACATATTTTGAAATAATTTTATAGATGAATTTCTTAAGAAATTTACCATAAATTACAATTACTCCACACCTATTATCCACAAATGAATAGATTAGTAGAGTATTTTAATAAAATGCTTTGTGAGTTTATATCCAAGCTAGTGATCAATGTAAGAGAATGGGACTCCTTAATACCTTCAGTACTCTTCGCATATTATACCACAAAACAAACTACAATGAAAATAACTCTATTCTTCTTGGTATATAGAAGAGAAGCCCAATTTCCAATTCATCCTAGTAAAAATGAAGAATTATTAGAAGGAACATTTATACACAGACTTTTTGAACTAATCGAAGTATTACCTGAAGTAAGAAACGATACTGTTAAATGAATTGAAAGGGTACAAGAAATTTCTAAGAAAAAACATGATAGTCATTTAGCTCCTATAAAAGAATTAAAGAAAAAAGATAAAGTTTTAGTATACAAGGCATCTCAACAATATTCGAAAAGTCATAAACTTCATCCTAAGTAGAAAGGACCCTTCGTTGTCTATAAGATGCTTCAGAAGGATATATATAAATTATGTACTATTGAAAAGAATATAATAAAGACACCTATAAATAAAAAGTTAATTAAACAATACAATTCTAGATAAGGAATTGTACAAAGGGGATAAAGAATAAAAAAGGACATGAATTAGTTAAAATTACTATTTTATTGTAATAATATACTATGATATCATAAATAAACTTTAATGTTAAAAAAAAAAAAAAAAAAAAACAAGCTTCTAAAGCAAAAGAAATTAAGTATCGAAAACACAAAACAAATATTTGAAACAAAACAAGTTGAGATAATAGAAGGTATTGATGATGAAATTGAAGGAACTTTAACCTTAACCATCATTGATAATCAGTTCATGGTAGAAGCTAAAACAAATATTGCAA